AAGAAAATTTTGGGGTAATTTGGGAGATCCGGCCACCACTCGCGATGGCTGGCGTTGGTGGTGGGTGGCGGAGTAAAGCGGCCGGCCGGTGTCTGGTCTCCCTCCGGTGAGGGAAACCTTAAGAAAGGCAGAGCGTTTTTTTCTTCTCTCTTAATTAGAGAGAGAATGAGAAGAAGAGAAATAAAAGATTGGCCCGAAGGGCCGACCCTTTGAGGATCATATACCCTCCCAAACGATGTCGTTTTGGGTAGGGGGTATATGCGTAATTTACACCTAAGAGCAAACCCTTTCCGTGATACCTATAACTTTGTAAACTTATAATTTGGTCACTGAAATCAATCACTGAAAGCTTTAATTCGGTCGTTTACTTTTATTTCTTTATAATTTAGTCATTGTCATGTTTATATATATTTAAGGTAAATAACTTACTTAGTCCCTTAAATAATTTAATAATATTTATTTTAATCTGAATAATAATTATGGGTTAATAACACTATGAGTAATTATATTTCCATAATGATTCGATTTATGTACACTATTTTAGATATTTATATTTCATTTTTGTTATTTTTAATTTTATTTATTGTCCCTAATAATTTTAATATTTTTTTTTTAATCACCTATAATAATTAAGGGATAATTACAGTATTAGTAAATATTTCGAATTGTTCATCAATTTTTATATTTTACATTTTAATCTTGTTATTTAATTTTATTTAAGTACTATTTATTTGTATTTATTTTTATTATTGTTCTTTATTTCTCAATATATTAAATTATTACTTCCATTATTATTTTATTATATCTTAGTCATATATATATTTGTTTAAATAAGAATATTTATTTATTTTTTTATTATATTATATTTTATTTTTATTTATTTAAATTATTTTATTAAAAATCATCACATTTTCAATATTTAATATGTATTTATTTTTTCAATATAATAAAGGGCAGTCTTAAAGCAATTAATGTTCATTTTCTGATATTTTTAAATACATAAATATCTTATTTTTATAATTATTTTAGATAAATATTTTATTAATATTTATTTTCAATATTAAGAAATGACAGTCTTAAAGCACTAGATGTCTATTTTTTGATATTTTTAAATAAATAAATTTATATATATATTAAAATAAAAAATATTTTAAATTAAAATATTTAATTATTTATAGATATAGTTTTATTATTTATTTATTTTTTAATATAAAAAGAACTCTTAAAGCACCTAGAAGCCATTTTCTGATATTTCTAAATAAATAAATATCTTATTTTATATTAATAGATTTTTTAATTATAGTAATAAATGTAAAATAACAAGATAAATTAAATATATCTTTGAATTTTTATATTTCTAATAATAGAGACAATTTATAATTAATAAGTACCAATTTTGGGCGTTGTGGGGGTGTTAATCCTTTCCAAACATAATCGACCACGAATATCTTTTTATTATTAAAAAGAACGAATTTTTGGTTAAAACGCAGATCAATTTATTTTTTAACTGATGTTTTCTTAAAAACTCATTAAATTTTTTTAGCTATTGGACCTACCTGACCCAAAAGGTCGATGGGACTCCTTAAACCAAAAAAACCTTATTCACATCACTTTCCCGCCAAGTAAAATTTTGTGCCAGGGCAAAAACCGGTTACGACAGCTTGGCGACTTCGCTGGGGAAGGGTCAAACTTTAAAATCAATTACAAATTGTCTCTATTAATTAGAAATTAAAAATTCATATATTTAATTTATAATTCTTTCTTTTCAAAATTTTTATATATACTTATTATTTTCCTAATATTTATATATATTATTTTATTAATGTTTTATTTTATTTTTAATGTATTAAATTTTATTATTTATTTGTCTGTCAGAGGTTTGAATATTTCTCCTCACACACAACACATACACATAACATAAGCTTTTTTAATCAAGCTTGTCCCTTTAAGTGGGAGTGAAAGCGACGTCTTCGTGAGAATTTATTCTCCGTGTTAGACCTAGCAAGTAGCTTTCGGGGTTATAGCTCTATGTCTTCATGGGAATTTATTCTCCGTGTCAGGCATAGAGAAATGTGTCCCCTCGAATTGAACTCGATCCATTTAAGTCTGTAGTGGAACTAGGATTGAGGGATGGTAGCCCAAAGGGGCTCAACAAGGACAATTCGAGTACCTTTACTTTTAGAACCAAAACCTTGCATATAACAAACCCTAGAGATTCTCCTGATTTAAGACATACTTAAACCCTGTCCGTAGGTGTACACAAAGGAGAAATAAACTCTAGCTTTTAATTTAATTTATTTTATTTTTTCCTGAATAAATGCATGCGAACTAGAAATTATGCAGTTATGTTAATTTTTCCAAACAAAGCATGGAACTAGAAAGCATGATGTCATGATTTATACCTTGATAGATAGAATTTTTCTTTCCATTAGTTGATACTAACTATTCTATTTTTTTCTTATTTTTTCCATGCATGTTACATTGCTCTAATTTGTTTATATTCTTTTGTCTGCATTGCATGATCATGGCATAACCAAAAGGTGTTTACTTGAAAGACTGTTCATCAAATTGGAAAGAAATCGTAAATGGACAAAAGTTGTATGATCAAACAAATATGATGCGGCCAAGGAAATACATCTTGAGGAAACTCCGAGGATAGAAGCAAGCAATGCACACACAGATCCTGTTATATTAATACCAAAAGTACTCCACAGAGATCCTTCCAGATTGATACCAAAAGCAGTCTACGGTAAGAGCATCAGTCGGGGAATTCAGAATAAATGAGGCTTTTATGAAGCTCAAGCATGTTATTTGAAGGACCAAAATAAGAAATTGAGCTCAGAAGTGGAAACCATGCATGAAGATTTCTAGAAGATGAGTCGAGCCTTTCAAAGTACTGGCATAGGAACACCCTAGAAGAGTGGATAAAAGGGGTCACCAACTAAAAAGAACTGCAACATATACGAAGATCTTATCCAATAACTTCTTGGACAGAAAGGTTCTCTTACAAGGAAAATGACAATTACAAGAATTAATACACAAGATGAAAGAGAATGTTATGGAAGAAGCTGTAATCCAGACAAGCAATATGGCCCACAAGCTGATAGAATAACTTGTCTTTAGGAGGGAAAGGTTATCCCCTATATGTAAAGTTTTGCTGAAGTTAGGACTGAAAATATGTCCTTTAATAGTAAAAGTTTTGTTTGATGCACGGAAACTTTTGTGTTAATGAAATCTGTTTAAGATGATCACTCTTGAGTAACACCTCTTCATACTGCATTTGAATCTTGCATTTTCATTTACATTGTTGTTTGCTTTTGTATTGCACACAAGAATTAATACAAGATGAAAGAGAATGTTATGGAAGAAGCTGTAATCCAGACAAGCAATATGGCCCACAAGCTGATAGAATAACTTGTCTTTAGGAGGGAAAGGTTATCCCCTATATGTAAAGTTTTGCTGAAGTTAGGACTGAAATATGTCCTTTATGTAAAAGTTTTGTTGATGCACGGAAACTTTTGTGTTTAATGAAATCTGTTCTAAGATGATCACTCTTGAGTAACACCTCTTCATACATGCATTTGAATCTTTGCATTTTCATTTTACATTTGTTGTTTGCTTTTGTATTGCACAATTTACATTCTTATTTTTGCATCGTTGTATTTGCATTTGTATCGTTGTATTTGCATTTGCATCGTTGCATAGTTACATCTATAGTTTCAAACTTATATCATTAAAATATTCAATCATTAAAATAAGGATTTCAACCGAAGTGATCTTGGTTATTCCTTGAAGCAAGAACGCTTAGCAAGATACAAGAAAAATGTCTAAAGAAACTGAGGATATGCTAGCCAAATTTGAGATAGAGCAAAAAGAGACACAAGAAGAATTGAGGATCAAGTTGGCACAAATTGAAGCTAATATCACAAATTATCAGATCAATCTACTGAACAAGATGGAAGAAATGATTGGTAAACATTTGACCACTGGGAAAAGTCTAGTTGAAAACCCCACAAATCCTCTGGGTGTTACACTTGTTCACATTCCTGACACACCTTTGTACATCAGGAAATCCAATCACCAGTTCACTTTGCTGTTAAGAAATATCAAGCTGGAGCGTCGTTCCCCACTGATTGTTCTACTGCTTCTGGGTTGAAGCCAAATGAATTTTGTACTGCTTCTAGAGAGACGGTTGAGTCATTTTATGGGTTTGACGGCAAAGAGCTGAGTTTGGTCCTCGAATTAGTTCTCCCACCAAATTTCAAAGTCCCAGATTTTGAGAAATATAATGGGACCACGTGCCATTCATATCATATCATTATGTACTATCTTCGTATGACTGGCTATATGGAGAATGAAAAATTGTTAATCCACTGTTTGCAAGACAATTTATCTGGGTCTGCATCCAAATGGTATAATCAACTAAAATACTCAAATACGTTCTTGGAGATTTAGCTCAAGTTTTTTTGGGTCAATACAAGCATATGATTGATATGGCCCCTAATCGAACAATGTTACAAAACATGAATATGAAGTGTAATGAAAGCTTTCGACAATATTCACAACAATGGAAGGATGTTGCTTCTAAAGTACATCCACCATTGACTGAAAGGAGTTCACTACTTTGTTCATCAGTACACTAAAATTTCCCTATATTAATCACATGATAGGGTTTGTCTCTAATAATTTCTCTAATATCATCATGAGTGGAGAAATGATCGAAATGGCTATCAAGAATGGCAGGATAAGAGGCTCTGACAATACTGATGTCGAGAAAGAAGTTGAGGTTAATACAGTGAGGCCTTATTCAGTTAAACATGGCGCCGAACCTTATAGAGTGATCAAGAAGAAGAAAAATGTGCAAGGTTTTCAATTTCCTCCCTTCCACTGTTCGAGTGAAAAATTGCATCAAAAATGCTCTCAACCAGATTAACTACTCCACAACTTGATCAACCATAGTGGCCTCCAAATGAGAATTGGACCTATAAGGAAGTTCCTTGGATAAATCAGACTGGAATTCCAAATTGTTCAGCTAAGGTTCCTGGTAACCTTGATGGAAATTTCCAAGATCCTTTAGAGCAAGCAATTCAAAAATGCAAGATAAAGAAGGGGTTAAGGTTCAATGTTCAGAAACTGTTGTTTCAACAGAGACTAATATGACCAAATCATGTGAAGAATATCGGGCGCAAGAAAATCAAAAGGCTCCTATGGAGGTAACTCGAGATTGGCCTATAGGTCTAAGAAAGAATGGGGCAGATATAACCCAAAAGACACCTCAGATACCTATATCAGATTTTCCGAAAACCAGTAAGGAAAGGGGCAACTTAAGGAATCTGGTTAATACTACCCCAGTTGCAGCTGAAATGAGCATTTCCCCCCTTGATCACAGGAGAACATTTTGTCGTTCAGAACGATCAAAGAAAGTGATAATCTCTCGAGCAGAAAAACTCTGAAGAGTTTTAGGAATCTATCTCAAATTTGTACCCTCATTTGGTTAAAGGCCAATACATTACACCAAGATGGTGAAATAGATTTTATAATTTTCACCTGGGTATCTAGGCATTCATAAGGAATTGTTGGTCATTGTTAAAAGAAATAGACACTCGTTGACAAGGGAGTCTTGACACAAGAAATGATCAAGGAATGAGAGGCAAATAAAGATGAAAATCTTGGGCCAAGTACACACCCAACATTCGAGGAATGATAGACGCAAGCTAAATAAACAAGTGGAAGTTGTTATCTACCACTGTATTACTTTCTATTTCAACATCCTGTTTAACTTGTTTTTTGTTCCTTTCTCCGCCTTTTGTACAATAAATAAATTTGTGTTGCTTATTAAGGTTATGAGCATTGAGTCAATTTTGTAATCTTGTAGTTCTTTGAATATCAACTGGATTAAAAAGCTTTTTATAATTAGAGTTATAATCTTTGACAAAATATCAGGATTGAAAACCAGAAAAACAAGGACCATTGACCTTACCTCAGAAGAAATACACCCAAACACTATCCTATTACAAATATGAGATAGCCTACTCCTATTGAAAGAAATTACAAAAGGCTTGGTATTTATATATAGAGCGTACAACGTGGGGCATCGTTGGTGTATTACATTACAAAACCATTAGAATATTTTTCTATTGATGACGTTCGATGATGAACATAATTTTACAAATAGGTAAATCTAGTTTAAGTCAGTTGCTTGGGAATTGAACTCTAACGAAGAGATTTTCTGAACTCCACCAAAACACCTAGACTATAACATGTTCTTCTTAACAAGCTTAAGAAATGGATTTGGATACCCATGTTATATTATTATATACAATAAAGCTTGAGTTGTCCCACTAGAGCAAATGGTTAATCGCCACGGCTTATGGATAATATTCAGCTAATCTATTATACTATTATATGGAATAAAATGTCCCTCTAGAGAAATTGGTTAATTGCCTCAGCTTTATGGATAAGTTTCAATTAACCTAATAAAGGTGATTATATTATACAATAAAACTGAATTCACTAGCCAAAATGGCAAATGTGTTAACAAATTGACTAAGGGAGTTACGAAACACCTGTTATAGTTAACTTCACACAAGCACTCAGAAATTTTATTTTTAGATTGATATTTCACACTACTTTGATTAGATGAGTCTAATGAAAGATTCTAGAGAATTGAAATGGAAGGACTCTAGAAGGTCTAGTAATTGGCAATCCTAGTTGTCATTTTATACGTATCGGTTAAAATACCAAGTCCTCAAAGTGAGGCATGTGACAAAGTTCACAAAGAGCGAGAGATTAGTGATCTTAAATAGATGTACCATAGAAAATAGGAAAGCCATCCTGAAACCAAACCAAATCTTGATACTTGTCAAAGAACTATAATTCTCAAACATTAAAGAATTATTTATTCTTTTGATATTCAGTGAATTCATGCTTATGATTTGATTTTATTGTGAACCTGTGATAGGCAACATTTTACAAAATTATGTCATTCTTCGATAAAGAAAGAAGGAAAAACATTTTCAAATATGGCAGTCTCAAATAAGGTAGGTCCTTGAAGCAAGTTGTTATTTATTCTACCTCTATTATAGAAAAAAAACGAGACTAGAATGATGAAGCATTGCACTTTCTTGAAAGCAAGTGGTCCAAAAAGCCAGAAATTCTGGAGAATTGAACTTGTAACGCTCTCCTGTGACATCATTAATAATCCATCAAGAAAGATTATCACTTATCTCATGCTAAGGGCGATAAACATCACCAGACAAATTATTTTCCCCAGCCATCAATCCATGTCTCTAGCAGATTCTCCAATCACAGAGTCATAAGTCTCATTAAGTGTATTATGGGAATGAACAAGTCACCACTTGCACTCTGGTTATACTGTGATACTGGTCAAGTCTTGGTACATCATAGCTTCTTCCATATCCGATCATTTTCCTTGTCAGGATTATATTCATTATATCCTTCAGAAGATTGCTGAACTTGAAATTGAGAACTTATGGCACAAAATAAGACATTGGAACAGATTCTACACTTATAGCCCATTTCAACTAAACATTTCCATGGTTCGGGAAGAGTAGGATATGGAGATGTCTATCTTGAAGCAGCAGAAGAGACAGTCACTGTAGCAGTCATTGCAAGGAAAGACACCAACAAAAATCTTCTAGTTCATCCTGATGATGTTTATTTCTTCCTGTTAGGTTGTTACACTGGAGACCACCGATAACAAGGTCAAATTCGCCAAATCTACTCATCAATTGCTCCAACTGATCACCATTCAGTTTTTGCGCATCTATTTTCAAAGGTATGCCAAGACAGTAGAAGGCAACCTCTGTATCACTGATACCAGAGAAAAGAGAGACAAGACATTGATACCACCAGAGAACATGTCTCTAGCAGATCCTCTTCCTCGTGTATAGTTTTTAGGGAAACCTAGAAGCATTTCCACCTCATCAGGTTCAAGTGGAATAACTTTATTCCTTCCAACCCATACCAGATTCTATTTTCGGCATTCATCAAGAACATACTTCTAGACATTCGAAGGTGGCTTATTGTCATAAGTTTCAAGAGCCTTACGGGTCCTTTCTGTCAATTTGGCATTTCATGTACATGTTTGTAAACATTTCAACTTTGTTCTTGGATCGAAGGAATTTTAATAAATTAAAACAAACTTAACCCTAAAATCAAATAGTGCCAAAGTAGCCTTTATTCATCTTATTCTTTCAATTTGTAGGAAAACAAACAATAAAGAAAAGAAAACTTACAAAAATTGATTTCATTTTTGAGAAATTTAAAAAATATATCAAACACTTTGATTTCAAAAATGCATCTATATTAAGTAAAATCAAAATTTAAACTCTTAAAAATTAATCAAAAACAATTAGATTATACTTATAATGCGACAAATTAGGTGAAAGTAAAGTTATAATACTTGGATAGTTGAGTAATAAAAAAATATTTTTAAACAAACAGTCTAAAAGTAATTACAAAATAAAATAAAACATCTAATTTAAACTCCTAAAATCATTGAAAGATATAATTTAAACACATGAATTTGTCACACTAATTGTGTTGCGTGTATCTATGTAAAATATAGTATTTTAAGCTAAAAACGAAGAACATGAATAAATGTTGGCACGTCTAACCACAAAACATTGGCATGTTTGTTTAACTTTATTATTAGAAATAATAAAAGCCGATAAAGAGAAAAGAAAATTTGTACAATTGGATTCCTATCCAATTAATTACTTTGGCATATTTGAGGATTAAATTTATTTTAATTTATTAAAATTATGATTAAGTTGATAGAATATATAAGTAATAGTGATTAAATGTGTAATAATATCAAATATTTTAACTACCACATCATTTTTTAAAATATTAACTACAAGTGATTTTATTGAATGCATTTAAATAGTACTTTAGTGACCTGATTGATAAATTTCAAAAATAATGGTCAAAATAAAAAGGGACAATAGTTAGGTGGTCACTGATATAATTTACCTTTTATTTTTAAATAATTTACCTTTAAATTTTGAACTAATTTATAATTTATATATTGAGTATTTTAGAATTTTAACGTTTATAAATTAATTTATCGGTGTTTATCATTAATGGTACTCATCTCCGCTTATCGACCATGAAAGAAACATCCTATTTTACATCTATAAGAATTATGACTATTAAACTTTAATTATTATTATTTATAAATTGTTATGTAATAAAATTTATATGAAATTCAAACAATTGACTATTATTAAATATACTACAAACTGTTTAATAAATTTGCTTAAAGACGAAGTATATAGAACAAGACAGAAGTGTTGAATGTCTTGTGTAACAAGGAAAGTTATGAACTACTAATATTTATCATTGAATTTTACAAATTCTTACAACTAAAATTTGTTTTACCCATATTGATCCAAGTTCTGATAATTTCGTACAATTTTGTCCAACAAGTATTCTTATGATGAATGTGAAGTGAAGAATGGCAGAGTAGTACGTACATTGTGAAAGATTGTCAACTATATTCATTTGATAAATATATGATATTCAAATTTAAAATCTTAAAAAATAATAATGAATGTTGATTTATGCTTACAGTTTCAAGTTTCACAAAACATTTAAAAAGGAAAGAAAAAGGTACAGAAGACCGTGAAATCCATACAAAAAAACAAAAATTATATACAGAGTCAGCAGCAGCAGAAACCACCACAAGAGGGACATTTCCAGGCAAAATACATGTGCCCACATGCCTGTTTGCGAGTTTGAAACAAACACCCACACTACTCTTTTCCCATATATATATTATTTAAGATTGTCATTGAGTTCTAGTTTTAGTGTCAATTTTTGAGAGAGACCCAGAATCAGAAACCCTACAACACAAGAAGAAGAAAAGCTACTAGCTTTCAGGGGTTGTTGCTTTCTTTCCTTTTCTGACTGTTTGTTGGTATTCGAGGAGTAAAGTTGGGGTTGAAAGAAAAAATGAAGGAGAAAAGTGAGAGTGGTGGTGGAGGGTATGTAAGAGCAGATCAAATAGATCTGAAGAGCTTAGATGAGCAACTTCAAAGGCACCTTAGTAGATCATGGACGATGGAGAAGAACAAGAACAAGAACAAGAAAGACGAGGGAGACGAAGGCGGTGCAGCTAGCGGCGGCGGCGGAGCACAGCTGATGTCAAGCAACACTGTAAGAAGACAAGAGTGGGAGATTGATCCTTCTAAGCTTATCATCAAGACTGTTATAGCTCGTGGCACTTTTGGCACTGTTCATCGTGGTGTTTATGATGGCCAAGATGTTGCTGGTATATATATATTATTCACCTTTCTTTTCTATTCTTCTTTTTCCAGTCTTATTTCTGGCCTTATGATTTGCTTCTGAGTACCCATTTGTTGTTGGAACACTCAGCTTTTTCTGTAAATGACATTTTTTTTATATGTACTGAAAGAGTGTTCACTTGGTTTGTGATATAGATTTTAGCTATTTTTTCCCTTTTCTTCATTTGGTTTTCTTTGAAAATTAACTTTCTAGGCCAGATGAAAGTGTTGCTATACATTAGGCACTAAAGCAGTGTTGATAAACTGTCCATGGCCTGATTTTGTTAGTGTTCTTCTATGTTTCTTGTGTGATTGTAAAATATGAGTATGTACCCCCATAGAGGGTCATATGCATAATATTTATGTCCGAAAATGTGTTTGGGACCGTTATCGAACATGGATATTTCAAGAAAAATGAAGAGTCCGAGCAACACTGGTTTCCCAATATTAGTAGTATTATTATCTATATCAAAGCTAATGCCTCAGGTTTGCAGTGATGGTGTTGAACTTTAAGTGTTTTTTAAGGGGCTCTTGAAAATCTTATTACAACTGTTCCGTTTGTTTTGCTGCTGCTGGGAATATCCGAGTAAAGAGGGGAAACCAGAGTTATTAGAACAACAACAACCCACCCATTGCTTGAATTTGTTTTTCCATTGTGAATCCGTTGATTTTTCACTAAGCAGTTTGTGATCAAACTTGTGGATCTATCTTCTGGAAACCGAATCCGTGATTCACGAGATCTTTCGAGCTGGCAGTGAGTTGCACTGCTGCAGTGACTTAAATGATGTTATTCTTCTATTTGTTAGGCTTTCATGTGTCTTAATTTATTGTTGGTATGCACTTTTTATCTCTACTTTTTGGAGATAAGAAGCTAGAAGATTTAAAGAGCTTCATTAATCTATAACTGCCAAATGGACCATATCATCCACTGGACCCCGATTATTTCCGGTCATCTACACGGATTTAACTGCCACATTAATCTATAACAAGGTTTTTGACCTTTAGATAGTGCTTTGATTGATCATAAGGGCGATGTTTTGGTATGTTTTCCATGATGTTCAGTTTCCTATCAGTTAAATCATGTATGAAAAATATGGTCTATCGTGTGGTTTATTTTTTTTACCTTATAGTAACTGTTTGCTTTCTTTTCTTGTTTCTTCCGTCATGCTTAGTTAAACTTCTTGACTGGGGAGAAGAGGGCCACAGATCCGAGGCCGAACTATCTTCACTTCGAGCAGCTTTTACACAAGAAGTTGCAGTGTGGCATAAGCTTGATCATCCTAATGTAACAAAGGTAACAATCTTTTCCGCATTCTTATCTTGTATCTTTACTCTTCTTGACCGGAACTGCAAAACCTGCATTTGTTTCATCTACTAAAAAGCTTGCTAGTTTGGACAATGCATAAGCTTTTAGTCTGTTTATTTCTCTTATTTTACTTGTTCAAATATGTCAACTCGGTAATTGGGGATGTTGACAAAAGTCTGTAACTCTGTATGTGCATTGGTTTGCAAGATGGTCTTTTTGGCATTATGCCTATTTGTCTTTAATCTTTGTCCAAAAATTTCCATGCAGTTTATAGGGGCGACAATGGGGTCGTCAGAGCTGAACATACAAACGGAAAATGGTCACATCGGTATGCCGAGTAATGTTTGTTGTGTTATTGTTGAATATTGTCCCGGGGGTGCACTGAAATCATACCTGATAAAGAATCGGAGAAGGAAGTTGGCTTTTAAAGTAGTTGTTCAACTGGCACTAAATCTTGCACGAGGGTCGGATTCTTATGCCCTGTCGATATAATTTCTTTTAATTATATAGCATGTGAAATTATAAATTGTAATTTAAACCGAAGTTCATATGAGAGTGCGTGTTGATGTTGTTGCTTTCGACACTTTTTAGGTTGAGCTATCTTCACTCCCAAAAGATTGTCCATAGAGATGTCAAAACCGAAAACATGCTTTTGGACAAGACGTTTACGGTCAAAATATCTGATTTCGGGGTGGCTCGACTCGAGGCTTCAAATCCGAACGACATGACCGGAGAGACCGGAACCCTTGGTTATATGGCACCGGAGGTATGATACAACATATTCTTTTGTTCCGAGTTGAGCTGTCCTGTCTCTCTCTCTCTTGATGAGTTAAAATGCCGTAAATTTGCTACAGGTCCTTAATGGCAATCCCTACAATAGAAAGTGCGATGTGTATAGTTTCGGTATCTGTTTGTGGGAGATATATTGCTGTGACATGCCGTATCCCGATCTCAGCTTCTCGGAGGTGACATCGGCTGTCGTCCGTCAGGTAAATGTGCCATCTTCGACGATGTATTCTATGTTTGCAAAACTATGGCCACGAGGATTCCACATGGATTGTAAATATTGTCATAACATAAACTTTAAACTACAGAATCTGAGGCCGGAGATACCTCGTTGCTGTCCGAGTTCTCTTGCAAATGTAATGAAGCGATGCTGGGACGCAAACCCCGACAAACGGCCGGAGATGGATGAAGTGGTGTCGATGATGGAGGCCATCGACACATCAAAAGGTGGAGGCATGATCCCGCAGGATCAACCCCAGGGTTGTTTGTGTTTCCGAAGATATCGAGGACCTTGATATCGATACCAGAGGCAAATAGTAGTCCAAGTTTTCGTTGAATTGGATCAGCTATGCATTTTGTATAGATGTAATGTTTCCTTTTTTGATTGAGAATACTGTCAATCTGATTTGGACATTCATTCACCCATTCTATTAATGCTATTAACCAGATGGATCATGTACTCAGATTCAATAGGAAATGGTCTCCACTCACGCAATTCAAGCCATGTATGTTTCAAGTAACAACCAAAATCACGCTCAATATTTATGTGAGCAACTGGTTTTTAATAGCACTGTGTTTTTATCGGATCAGCTTAAAAAATGTAAAGTTAAATTTTTTTCAAGTCAAATTGTTTAAATTTTTATTATTTAAATTTAATTATAAATATTTGTAATATTATTATACTATTCATTTTAATCTGAATGTTTTTAATCGATATGTACATATATTTATCATAACTCTTTTAAAAAATTTAAAGTTAATATAGTTTTACATCTTTTTAGGGTCGGTAGATTGATGAAAATCAAAGATTGAGATTAACTCATTTTAGGACGGAGCCAGAATGTTAACTTGAGGGGGGAAGAGTATAATTTTTCTAAAATTGAGGGGACAATTTCATAATTATCTTATAAATATTTAAATTTTATATATAAATTAAAGGTAAAGAAACAAATTTTTGGCTGAGTTGGGGGAAGAGGCACAGCCCCTCCCGAGCTCTTGGTGGTTCTATACCTGACTTATTTTTTTCCAGTAAATATTTTTTATTTTCTACTGTTAATTTAAACTTTTAATTTCTCTTATCCAATGATCCTAAAAATATGTAAAATTAAAAGAGTTTTACATAATATAATTAGATCTTGTGCTATATAAATAGAGAGAGAATTGATAGACTCAATTCAAACCTAAAAATTAATTCATTAATTATTAAGATTTTGAATTATTTAAGTTTTGTTAGTATTTTATAAATCAAATCAAATCGATTTTTTTGGCATTAAATCATATCGAAAATTTTGATTTACCAAACAAAGCATACGAGGAAAAATGAATTGAACCCAATATCCATTGCCGATAGGCAGACTAACCAATTCATAAAGCATAAAACCATAAACTAAGAAACCTCTGTCCTAATTGTAGAATAAAGCAAAATTGAGAGTAAAGTCTATGTCCCCTTTGGAACTCAAAATGTAAAAAGAATTTAGGCCGTTCCAGCAGGCTGATTAGAGAGCTGAACCTCTGCTGCTTGCCTTTTGTCCTTTTTACTGTCCTTCCCTTTGAAGTAATAGTATCCATATAAAACCAGCTGCATAAACCCAAAGATTGCTCCTAGTCCATTCGATACCTGCAATTTTCACATTATTGTAATTGTAACTCTCACTCTTTCCATTGCTTGTAATATTATTTCAGTTTTGAACATCATACCAGGATGAAGATGTCAGGTGGAAGGAGGCCATAAATGGTCCAGCAGACACCATTAGAGAATCCAGCCAATGAGAGCCAAAAGGGCATGTACTCCACACTCTTTGTTGTGATCACTTTTCTCTTTTAATGTAAACAAGATTGTTAATATGAAAAACAAAAAGTGAATCAAGTGAATGAACAATGGATTTGGAGGAGATATTACCCAGATGGCCAGAGGTGAGGCGTACATAAAGATGTTGAAAATATCAGATATAACTCCAACGAAAAGAGTTCTGTGGCTGCCGTGAAAGGCCAGCATTGCCACCAGAGCAATGACTACTGTCAATGCCGCTTCACCAAGGAGGACATAGGCAACAGTAAGCTGAAAATTTGATCAAACAAATCAATATAAATGCTAAACTAAATGGAATTAGATCAGCTAGACTGTTGTTAAAGATGGTAAGAAAACGAAAACCCAACATCCAAAACCTTACCGAATATTGATGCCTACGTTCAATCTAACATGTGTTCTCATCCTAAAATTCTACCAATATCGATGCTTACGTTCAATCCATATAAATGTGAAGGACATCAAAAATTGTTCGATATAATTACGGAGAGAATGGTTCATTTATACATACCCTCTTCTTCCGATCATTGGCATAAATGACATAAATGGTTAGGTACGTCAATTCAACGACAAGACCGAAGGCGTTGATGGTCAACACTAAAATGTTGTCCTTTTTAACAAAGGGGAGGCCATAGAAACACCAAGCGATGCAGTTCATGACTGTGACCAAGTATGGGATCGCCTGAAACTCCTCCACTGCCTTCTTCTTATAGATCCGATAGAAAGTTGGTCTATTCACAATAATCAAACAATTTTTTAGAGTCGATTCTATATTCAAAAGGAAAAAAATACCATGGGGAGATTGTAATTACACTGGCGAAAGAAAGAGGCCAAAAGAGATGACATTGCCTGTAAAAGAAATGAATATAAATAAACAAATACTCCATACTCATACTAAATAAATATAAACCGAGTAAAAAAGTAAGAAAGAAAATCTGTACAGTCTTTTCATCTACATAGATTTATTAATTGACGTAAAACCTTAAACCTCATGAGAATCATAAAAAAAAAAGGGAGAACGAAATCTCCATTGATCAAAGCTAAAAAGAAACGACATCTTTTAACGAATAAATATAAATATTTTAGTTCATATTTACTTCAACAAAAAAAGGGAAAAATAAATATTTCTAGTTTCATTGAAGCAAAAAGAAAGGAGAAATGATTAGAGAAAAAAAGCGATCTCCATTGATAAAAGCTTCTAAAACTCGTTGAAAATCAAAAAGCATTCGCTTCTAATCATATGATCGAAATCAACCAAATCCCCTAAAAACTCAAGGAGAGAAGCATTAATTACCGATAATGCCGATGACATTGCGAGCAAGTCCCATGTTAAAAGCTTAAGGTTAGCAGCGAGCGAGAGAAGAAAGGCAGAAGATGTTAGGGATGAAGGCTGCAAATGGATTTGAAAGATATATATAGATTTGAGATAGAGATAGAGGGGGAGAGAGATTTTTAGTTGGAGTAGAAATACTTGGAGATAAGATTTTACTCTTTTAAACAAAATAATAATAATTTTTCAAACACGATACTTTAATTATCCACTAATCCTAATTAAAATCAGAATTTCTGTTTTTTTTTGGAATTTTAATTATCCATTAATTCTAATTAAAATCACAATTCTTGTTTTCGAAATCTCGCTTAGTATCTTTCTTGTGCATGCAATATGCATGGCGTCGTGGCTTTGTATAATTGGGGACAGTGAGACGCGGCGCTTAAATCGTTTGAGTGTTTGTTGTTAGAGGATATTATATTGACGTCGGAGTTGTGTGAAATAACGATCACTGCCATTACCGGAATGCCTAAAACACTGTATCATGCGACGAGAAGATTTCGTCTTTCCTCGAGTGCCCAATTAGCAAGTAAAGATTACGCGGTTTCCCCATTACGGAAATCCACTAGCAAGTGCTTCATTCTAATCCAATGACTAACAGCAAGGACTCGAATTTACGAGTTTTGATTTGATCCGAGTTTATTGAATTGGATTCTTTTTTTTAAAAAAAAAAAACCACGATATGGCAGGCTCATATCTTTTAATAGATATTTTAGAGATAAAATAAAAATAATATAATACCTCAATTTAGAGATAATTATAATAATACATCTATATATTATATATTTACGTATATATAATAATAAAATTAATGTAATATCTTTTTTGTGCATGCAATATTGCAAGAGTCGGTTGTATACTTGACTTGATCCGAAAATAATATAATTATATATTATATATTTATATATAATTATAATAATACCTCTCTATATTATTTTTTTTCAATTATATTCATATCAAATAAAATTAAGATTTTTTTTATAAATATATTTATGTCGGATCATGCCAGATCATATTCAAGTTTTATCGAAAAAGACGAATTGGGTTTTGGATCATGTAGACATATATTTTCGTCCGAGTTATATTTAAATATATTAGTTTATTATATTATATAGTATTTATTCGTATTGTATAAGTATATGTGTTACGTTTATATTATATACATATACAAATTATACTATATACTATAATATACTATGGTGGCCATATACATTGTGTCCATTACATATATATTACATCATTATATGTGTACATTACATATATATTACATCATTATATGTGTACATTATAACGCATACATATTTTTTTTCTTTTTGTTTTTATTTACAGGCCAAACCCGAAAAAGCAATCCCACTAGGCTCAACCGACCAAGCCCAACACGTGAGAAGTCTGCCAGTGGAGCTAGGGTTCCATCCCTTTTCCTTCAACGCCGCATGTCCTGGACCATCGGATTAACGGGCCATCCGACGGTCGAGATGGCTTGAAGAGTTTTCATCCCAGCCGCAACCCACCACCCGTTCCAGCCGTATCCAACAACCCCATATCCCAAAATTTTCGACACCATCGTGGATAAGAATCACGTCAAAAACAGGAAAAATGATCATTTGAGTCTAAATAGGAGTCTAAATCGAACCGAAAATACTGGGTTCTCTAGAGACTATAAATACATGTAATGTTATTCTAAGGAAAAGGGAGAGAATCAAGCAAGAAACATACTTGTAAACATGAAAAGAAAAGTGAGAAATCGGAGCCAAAGAAAACTTGTAACCTTCGAAATAAAAAACGTATTTTCTTTTCCTTCTTCGGCTTGCATGCTTGTTTTGCTTACTAGTTTGGGTTTTTTTTTTCTTTTTTTCTTTTTTTTTTGGTTCGAAGAAACCTCATAAATCGAACGGCCGATGATCGGAGGGGGAGGGTACTCGAGAAGTTTTTCTCAGATCTAGCCCTCCCCGATACCCTTTTGTAAAAACCAAAATCATTTTTGAAGAGAGGGTGGAAAAGGCTTTCAAAAAATGTAAAAAAAAAAAAATATTCATCGCTGTGAACGGTGGCCGGTTGGATTATGGGTTCACCATGAACACTGGCCGTGAGTTCTTCATTTGCGAAGAACACTCCAGAGCGTTTTGAAATTTTTTATTTGATCTGTTGAGGGGGGAGAGAAGAAATGAAGAATTGTTTCTTTATTTTGGCATATATACGACCCGATGACCCGACCGGATCCCCTACGGGATCCGCGTGTTTTCACCTGGATAGGGGTTAATTACAAAGCTAGACCATTGGTTATTTTTAAACCCTTTTTTGCGCTTTTAATTTTAAGTTAATTTCATTCATTTTTCCTTTTAATTCTACCATTCGATTTACTTCTTTTTTTTTAATTTGGTCATTTTTCATCTAATTTTTATATGTTTAAGATCATTGTATTTTTAATCCGACATTTTTTATATAATGTTCTTTGTTTATTTTGTTTATTTTTTGGTTTTATTTATTTTCCTTTTTTAAATTTAGCTAACTTTTTAGGTTTTTACTTTTTTTTTAATTTCATTTATTTTCCTTTTTAATATTAGCCATTTTTATTTATTTTTACTTTTTAATTTAGCTATTTTTTAGGGTTTTTATATTTTTATTTCATTTTATTTTTTTTATTTTTATTTTGGTAATAAGTTTGAATTGAATTTTTAAATTTCAATGGAAATTTTAATTTTCACAATTAAGACAATCGACAAATTAAAATGGTACCAAAAGGACAGTTCAAGGTTGCTAATCCTTCCTTGAGTGTAACCAACTCCCGAATCCGTCATATTTCTGGTAAAACGCAAATCAGGTAAGATGGTGTTCGATCAACCTAAATATTTTTAAAATGATCGGTGGCGACTCTAACGTGTTTTATTTAATACAAGCCCAATTCTGGGCCCACCCGAAAGACGGTTACGACATATTGGTGACTCTTTTGGGGACATGTAAGTGAGTCGGCCAGAATTAATTTTCGGTTGTCTTTTTAAGCGAAAATAACAAGTTTAAATTTTAATTTATTTATTCGATTCTCATTGTTTATCTTTGGTTATTTTTCAAATAAATAGTTGTACTAACGTTTTTTCAATGATTTTAAATTTTTAAAATTTTCATATCAGGCTCTAGACCCGAGCTCCAAACCCTTTTAAGTGGAGGTGAAAGCGACGCCTTCGTGGGAATTTATTCTCCGTATAGGCCTAGCAAGTAACCTTTGGGATTCATATACCTTGTGTCTTCGTGTGAATTTATTCTCTGTATAGACATAAGTGAATGTATCCTCACGAATTTAACTTGGTCCACATAGGCTTGTAATGGACTTAGGACTGAGGGTCTGACAAGCCCAAGGGGGCACCAGAAAGGAGAACTCGGGTACCTTCTTTAGAACCTAAATCGAAAGACTGCAAGGAATTAGAGCCCACCCCGAAACTCCATTTCAAAACCTATGATGCTTGAATTATTTCCTGTTTTACTTTCTGTTCAAAGCATGTGAACTAGAAAGATATGAAGTTAGGACTTGTTCAAAATTAACATGTGGGATAGAGATCATATTTGGGTAGGAATGATAAGCATGTGGGGTATGACTTTTTTCATCATTATTTTGATTATTATCTTTATCTCACTAACTTTTTTCATTTTTTTTTCTTTCTTTATTTTTTTATTTTATTTTTTTATCATTTACATCATTCAAAAGAAGTGTTGATCCATAAAAACGTGTTCGTTAAATGTAAATAGTTTGCATTAATGGTCAAAGGGGTTGTAATACAAGAGGTGGAAAACGCAGAGGTCTGAATATGGTTAGGAAAGACTCAGAAGGAAAAGGGAGACAGTCTGCAAGAAAACTATGTGTCAAATTCAATCAAGAAGATATGGTGCCAACAATCGAAGAGTATACCACTCTGTTGCATTGTGAAGGACTTAGAATGGACCGGGTTTACACCAAGCACATCAAAAATCAACTTTTCAAAAATGGGTTGGTAAAGGTTGCAGGGGCATATGAGAAAAAGGTTACTGACCTGGAGAGTCCCTTCAAAGACAACAAGAACATGATGGCAAAATGATAGCTGAATTGGAGGCCATTGTTAATGAGTTCCTGATAGTTCATATAGATGGAGGGCTCCAATGGCGTTTCCGTTAGGGAATAGGCTTAGCAAATGGTGAAAGCTAGAAATGAAATCATTCGAGATTTCTTGGAACAAGCTTGACACTTGCACGATTTAGGGAGAGAAGTTGGAGTGGTTTGACAGTGTATTCAACCGATGAAAGACGAAGGCAGAAGACTAATCAACCTGTTAGAAATTATTCAGGGTCTAGAAGACTTAGTTAGAATGTACCTTTAGGATGTTTTTGCTCTTAAGAAATAACACTTTTGTCTCAATAAAGATTATTTATAATAACATACACGTTTTTGGAGCAGTTCCTCGAAACTTCATACATCATGCATTCTTGCATATTTCACATTATTTTTCTTTTTTTCATTACATTCACATTAACTAACAAGAGATGTCTCATAAAAATGATGAAAGCAAGTACACTCTCGAAGCAAAAATTTGTACGTCTAAGGGTACATCAAAAGGATCCATGGCAAGTGAATGATCGAGAAATGGGGAGCAAATGTGGATGAAGGCTCTAATCCAATTAGGCACTCAACATTCTAGAAATAATGGGGCATCCTAATGAGGTTTTATTCCATTTTGCAGCATCATGTTTGAACTTGTTTTTTGAACTTTCTCATATTTCTTTTTGTAAGGATATTTAAATGAATTTATGATACTTTAAAGATGGAGGGCATTGAATCAAATTTACAACTTGAAATTATTTGAATATCAACTGAATTAAAAAACTCTGTAAATGATTTAGAGTTACAGATCTTTGACAAAGTGACATGATTAAAAATTAGTAAAACAACGACCCTTGACCTTACCCCAGATGATGTTGGGACCATCGGCGCACCCCATGACGCAACGAAAACAAAACTCGACGGTCTCACCA